CCGAGCTTTATAATGGCAGTGAATGGCGGTTTGTTATTTGAAGTCCATCATAAAAGTGCATCTGTCCATCATTAAAGTGCATCTGTCCATCATAAAAGTGCATCTCTCCATCATAAAAGTGCATCTCTCCATCATAAAAGTGCATCTGTCCATCATAAAAGTGCATCTATCCATCATAAAAGTGCATCTCTCCATCATAAAAGTGCATCTGTCCATCATTAAAGTGCATCTATCCATCATAAAAGTGCATCTGTCCATCATAAAAGTGCATCTCTCCATCATAAAAGTGCATCTCTCCATCATAAAAGTGCATCTGTCCATCATAAAAGTGCATCTCTCCATCATAAAAGTGCATCTCTCCATCATAAAAGTGCATCTCTCCATCATAAAAGTGCATCTGTCCATCATAAAAGTGCATCTGTCCATCATAAAAGTGCATCTATCCATCATAAAAGTGCATCTGTCCATCATAAAAGTGCATCTATCCATCATAAAAGTGCATCTCTCCATCATAAAAGTGCATCTGTCCATCATAAAAGTGCATCTATCCATCATAAAAGTGCATCTCTCCATCATAAAAGTGCATCTGTCCATCATTAAAGTGCATCTATCCATCATAAAAGTGCATCTGTCCATCATAAAAGTGCATCTCTCCATCATAAAAGTGCATCTGTCCATCATAAAAGTGCATCTGTCCATCATAAAAGTGCATCTCTCCATCATAAAAGTGCATCTCTCCATCATAAAAGTGCATCTGTCCATCATAAAAGTGCATCTGTCCATCATAAAAGTGCATCTGTCCATCATAAAAGTGCATCTATCCATCATAAAAGTGCATCTCTCCATCATAAAAGTGCATCTGTCCATCATAAAAGTGCATCTCTCCATCATAAAAGTGCATCTCTCCATCATAAAAGTGCATCTGTCCATCATAAAAGTGCATCTGTCCATCATTAAAGTGCATCTATCCATCATAAAAGTGCATCTGTCCATCATAAAAGTGCATCTGTCCATCATAAAAGTGCATCTATCCATCATAAAAGTGCATCTCTCCATCATAAAAGTGCATCTGTCCATCATAAAAGTGCATCTGTCCATCATAAAAGTGCATCTGTCCATCATAAAAGTGCATCTGTCCATCATTAAAGTGCATCTATCCATCATAAAAGTGCATCTCTCCATCATAAAAGTGCATCTGTCCATCATAAAAGTGCATCTGTCCATCATAAAAGTGCATCTGTCCATCATAAAAGTGCATCTGTCCATCATTAAAGTGCATCTATCCATCATAAAAGTGCATCTCTCCATCATAAAAGTGCATCTGTCCATCATAAAAGTGCATCTGTCCATCATAAAAGTGCATCTCTCCATCATAAAAGTGCATCTGTCCATCATAAAAGTGCATCTATCCATCATAAAAGTGCATCTATCCATCATAAAAGTGCATCTGTCCATCATAAAAGTGCATCTATCCATCATAAAAGTGCATCTCTCCATCATAAAAGTGCATCTGTCCATCATAAAAGTGCATCTGTCCATCATAAAAGTGCATCTGTCCATCATAAAAGTGCATCTGTCCATCATTAAAGTGCATCTATCCATCATAAAAGTGCATCTCTCCATCATAAAAGTGCATCTGTCCATCATAAAAGTGCATCTGTCCATCATAAAAGTGCATCTGTCCATCATAAAAGTGCATCTGTCCATCATAAAAGTGCATCTGTCCATCATTAAAGTGCATCTATCCATCATAAAAGTGCATCTCTCCATCATAAAAGTGCATCTGTCCATCATAAAAGTGCATCTGTCCATCATAAAAGTGCATCTATCCATCATAAAAGTGCATCTGTCCATCATAAAAGTGCATCTGTCCATCATAAAAGTGCATCTGTCCATCATAAAAGTGCATCTGTCCATCATAAAAGTGCATCTGTCCATCATTAAAGTGCATCTGTCCATCATAAAAGTGCATCTGTCCATCATAAAAGTGCATCTGTCCATCATAAAAGTGCATCTCTCCATCATAAAAGTGCATCTCTCCATCATAAAAGTGCATCTGTCCATCATAAAAGTGCATCTATCCATCATAAAAGTGCATCTATCCATCATAAAAGTGCATCTGTCCATCATAAAAGTGCATCTCTCCATCATAAAAGTGCATCTGTCCATCATAAAAGTGCATCTCTCCATCATAAAAGTGCATCTCTCCATCATAAAAGTGCATCTGTCCATCATAAAAGTGCATCTCTCCATCATAAAAGTGCATCTCTCCATCATAAAAGTGCATCTCTCCATCATAAAAGTGCATCTCTCCATCATAAAAGTGCATCTGTCCATCATAAAAGTGCATCTGTCCATCATAAAAGTGCATCTATCCATCATAAAAGTGCATCTATCCATCATAAAAGTGCATCTGTCCATCATAAAAGTGCATCTCTCCATCATAAAAGTGCATCTCTCCATCATAAAAGTGCATCTGTCCATCATAAAAGTGCATCTGTCCATCATAAAAGTGCATCTGTCCATCATAAAAGTGCATCTATCCATCATAAAAGTGCATCTGTCCATCATAAAAGTGCATCTGTCCATCATAAAAGTGCATCTATCCATCATAAAAGTGCATCTCTCCATCATAAAAGTGCATCTGTCCATCATTAAAGTGCATCTATCCATCATAAAAGTGCATCTGTCCATCATAAAAGTGCATCTGTCCATCATAAAAGTGCATCTATCCATCATAAAAGTGCATCTCTCCATCATAAAAGTGCATCTGTCCATCATAAAAGTGCATCTGTCCATCATAAAAGTGCATCTGTCCATCATAAAAGTGCATCTGTCCATCATTAAAGTGCATCTATCCATCATAAAAGTGCATCTCTCCATCATAAAAGTGCATCTGTCCATCATAAAAGTGCATCTGTCCATCATTAAAGTGCATCTATCCATCATAAAAGTGCATCTGTCCATCATAAAAGTGCATCTGTCCATCATAAAAGTGCATCTATCCATCATAAAAGTGCATCTGTCCATCATAAAAGTGCATCTGTCCATCATAAAAGTGCATCTGTCCATCATAAAAGTGCATCTATCCATCATAAAAGTGCATCTCTCCATCATAAAAGTGCATCTGTCCATCATAAAAGTGCATCTGTCCATCATAAAAGTGCATCTGTCCATCATAAAAGTGCATCTCTCCATCATAAAAGTGCATCTGTCCATCATAAAAGTGCATCTCTCCATCATAAAAGTGCATCTCTCCATCATAAAAGTGCATCTGTCCATCATAAAAGTGCATCTGTCCATCATTAAAGTGCATCTATCCATCATAAAAGTGCATCTGTCCATCATAAAAGTGCATCTGTCCATCATAAAAGTGCATCTATCCATCATAAAAGTGCATCTCTCCATCATAAAAGTGCATCTGTCCATCATAAAAGTGCATCTGTCCATCATAAAAGTGCATCTGTCCATCATAAAAGTGCATCTGTCCATCATAAAAGTGCATCTGTCCATCATTAAAGTGCATCTATCCATCATAAAAGTGCATCTCTCCATCATAAAAGTGCATCTGTCCATCATAAAAGTGCATCTGTCCATCATAAAAGTGCATCTATCCATCATAAAAGTGCATCTGTCCATCATAAAAGTGCATCTGTCCATCATAAAAGTGCATCTGTCCATCATTAAAGTGCATCTCTCCATCATAAAAGTGCATCTGTCCATCATAAAAGTGCATCTGTCCATCATAAAAGTGCATCTGTCCATCATAAAAGTGCATCTGTCCATCATTAAAGTGCATCTGTCCATCATTAAAGTGCATCTATCCATCATTAAAGTGCATCTGTCCATCATAAAAGTGCATCTGTCCATCATAAAAGTGCATCTGTCCATCATAAAAGTGCATCTGTCCATCATAAAAGTGCATCTGTCCATCATAAAAGTGCATCTGTCCATCATAAAAGTGCATCTGTCCATCATTAAAGTGCATCTGTCCATCATAAAAGTGCATCTGTCCATCATAAAAGTGCATCTGTCCATCATAAAAGTGCATCTGTCCATCATTAAAGTGCATCTGTCCATCATAAAAGGGCATCTATCCATCATAAAAGTGCATCTGTCCATCATAAAAGTGCATCTGTCCATCATAAAAGTGCATCTGTCCATCATTAAAGTGCATCTGTCCATCATAAAAGTGCATCTGTCCATCATAAAAGTGCATCTGTCCATCATAAAAGTGCATCTGTCCATCATAAAAGTGCATCTGTCCATCATTAAAGTGCATCTGTCCATCATTAAAGTGCATCTGTCCATCATTAAAGTGCATCTATCCATCATAAAAGTGCATCTATCCATCATAAAAGTGCATCTGTCCATCATAAAAGTGCATCTGTCCATCATAAAAGTGCATCTGTCCATCATTAAAGTGCATCTATCCATCATAAAAGTGCATCTGTCCATCATAAAAGTGCATCTGTCCATCATAAAAGTGCATCTGTCCATCATAAAAGTGCATCTATCCATCATAAAAGTGCATCTGTCCATCATAAAAGTGCATCTATCCATCATAAAAGTGCATCTGTCCATCATAAAAGTGCATCTGTCCATCATAAAAGTGCATCTGTCCATCATAAAAGTGCATCTGTCCATCATTAAAGTGCATCTGTCCTAAAAGTGCTCGAATCGGTCTCTTAGGGGTTAATAAAGGCCTTCTGAAGCGAAGCAATGCGTTTGTGTAAGAAAAATATCCATATTTAAAACTTTATAAAGTAAAATAACTAGCTTTCGGCCAAACGAACATACGAATTCCACTTAAGTGTAAAGCGCAAGAAGAATGTCATATACATCTATGACTTCAGGGTGAGTAAATCATGTGCTAATTTTATTTTTGGGTGAACTATCCCTTTAATGGGAAGATTAGCTAAATGTTATTAGAACATATATTTGTTAGCAGGGATTTCTCCACAGAACATTGAGAAGAAACTCAATAGAGATGAACTCACAGTAGACGTCCACCCTGATGGACTTGATGGCCGGGGACCCGAGACCGTTCTCGGCCTTACAGTAATACCGTCCGCCCTGATGTCTCTGGATCTTGGAGATGTGGAGGGTTTCGTTGAACACGCTGGAGTCCTGGAAGCGGTCCGAAACGCTGCCTGCCGTCTTGGTCCATCGAATCTGCACCAGAAAGAAAAATGGGTAACACTTTATTTTACAGTGTCCTTGTTACATGTGTGACCCTGGATCACTAACCCAGTCACGAGTCGCACGGGTGTTTCTGTGGCAATAGCCAACAATACATTATATGGGTCAAAATTATCGATTTTTCTTTTATGCCAAAAATCATTAGGGTATTAAGTAAAGATCATGTTCCATGAAGACATTTTGTAAATTTCCTACTGTAAATATATAAAACATTTATTTTTGTGAGTGAATGCAGCACAATCGCCAACATAAATGCACAACTTTAAAGGAGATTTTCTCAATGTTTAATTTTTTTTACACCATCAGATTCCAGATTTCCAATAGTCGTATCTCAGACAAATATTGTCCAATCCTAACAAACCATACATCAATGGAAAGCTTATTTATTCTGCTTTCAAAATATGTATAAATCTCAATTTAAAAAAAAATACCAATGTGACTGGTTATGTGGTCCAGGTTCACATATGTTACAAGTACTTACCGTAGTAATAACAGTAAATCATGCATAATTGCAAGCAACTAACCCTCAACCAAATCCTACTCTAACCCTATAGTAAGTACATATTGTTAATTAATATTACTCAGTACTTAAATGTATAATTACATTGTTACAATGACACCTTAAAATAAAGTGTAACCAAAAAATGACTTAAATCTCTAATCGTATACCATTTCTCCCGTTACTCGACATTCAAAACTTCAACCCAAGTATTCTGCACTTGGCAAACACCACAGATCAAGTTTTTCACTGGTCAATTTGGAGAATTAGCTCTATTTTGCTTCCATAATATGTCGTCTTCCAGACTAGTGGAAATTTAAGATTTTATTGCACTTTATCCATTTGCATCTGTAGATTTCAATTGCACTACATAACCTTATAAAGTTTTTATCTCCACTTCAGAAGCACTTACATGCACCAAATTTTACAGTTTTATTCCTATCTATATTCTGAAGGATTTTACTGAGGGGTTTGTTCATATACCATTCACTTGATATTTATTTAACACTTTATTCCTAAAAAAACAAACAAATTCTGGTATGTTGAAAGTATTTTCTGATTTATGAAGTGATAAAAAGAGATTTCCAAAAACCCTTAACTCTAATATGCCAACAAAATCAAATAAGAATTTTGAAATTCACTGTTTAGATATCTTTTTTTGGAAATTAGTGCATATTTGATTAGATAATGCCTAATTTGCATATACACATACTTTTTTTATAAAACTTGTGATACAAATCAAATGACAGTGGAAGTATGCTGAAATCAAGATATTAGTTATTATTTTTACCCTATTTACCTGTGGTGCCTTGCCTTAAAGGTCCAGATTTTAGACACTTATAATAAATGCAACAGAAACAATATTTTGCACATCTCTTTATAAAACCCAACAGCATATATAAGCCACCCACACTCCACGTTATGCATCAAAACTCTGCAAGGCAAAGCTTGTTTGTCAGAATAAATCTGGAACGCATGAAACTTCATTGACCCGACCTTGAAAGCAATGAATCACGTTGTGAATTAAACTAGCTGCTTACACTTTAGATGCTTTCTGCTTCTGTCACAAGCGTATTTATAAATGTTCAACTCCTTTAGTCACGAGCAGGGATGAGATGTGGGAGAAACTCATGAACCGAATGTCCCGAAAACCATTCGTTTCCAGGATGTTTTGTTTGTAGTTCTCGATCCTCAAATCAACTACATTTCTGACATTCCCTTGTAAAAAAAACCCAAGAAGTCCACTTTAGCATAATTTTAAACAGAGGTCTTTTTACGGAAATAATTTAATTTAATTTAAAAGAATTTGCTTAGGTGTGAACCGAGATACTTAAATGCATGTTGTTTAAAATTAAATAAAATATATTCTAGTTTAAATTTACATTAAATGAATGTAAGAGTGCTCTTTACCCACTTATACTTACATCTTTATACGTAATTTCATAAGTACTTCTATTGTCTTTAAAATATGGTTAGTACTGCCATCTGGCAAACATTTTTGATAAGCTAAAATATAATTTAATGACTTTTCTATGGAAAGTTGTGTCATGTATTTAAATATATTTATTATGATGAAGTTGAAATTTAGTACATTTAAGATATATTAACTTGAAGTGTACCATGAAATAACAAACTACAGTTAAAATTTCAATCAAGTAATTTACATGTACTTTTCTTGAAGCACGACACAAGATTATTAAAACTTTGAAGTAAAACTTAATCTGAAATTATTGCAAAGTGCACTTTTTAAAAGTGTACTTTTTATGAAAGTTTACTCTCTTTAGGTACAATTAAGTGGCCTTTTATTTAAATTTTTTTAACTCCAACTTTAAGATTTGAAGTGCACATCAAGGCATTTACGCACACTTGTTGTTTCCACAAGGGTTTTGAGTTTCGTCGTGTGTGTGTGTGTGTGTGTGTAGATGCTGTGTGGCACTATGTCACAGTCACTCGTTTGTCAAACAAATGCCAGCGCGAGTCCTCTGGGAACCCCTCCTCGCCATTTCCGTTTGACAATGCCAATGTCAATTTAGCTCTGCTAAGACGTTGTGTATTCTGCGGAGTCAAGCCGAGTGACAAGGTGAACCACATGCTGCCATTCACTTTACTCCAGCATCACGTCCCAGTCGCAGGGAGATTACCGGCGTGTTGCTGTGGAAGCGAGGGGAGGATCGGATGGGGATTGAGCGTCCCAGTCATGGGATCTTGGGAAAGTCGGGACACGTAGAAGGAGGGTCTGTTTTTGTCAATCAGGATTTGTTTCAGTCTCTGCTTCGGGATGAACTCATTAGTCCTACACTGCAAAAAATGCTTTTCTTACTCAGTATTTTTGTCTTGTTTCCAGTCCAAATATCCAAAAACTCTTAAATCAAGATGCATTTACTAGATGAGTAAAATGCCATTAGATATCATGTCTTGTTTTCTGGGGGGGGGGGGGGGGGGGGGTCATGTGATGATTCATGTGACACTGAAGACTGGAGTAATGATGCTGAAAATTCAGCTTTGATCACAGGAATAAATTACACTTTACTGTATATTCACATAGAAAACAGCTGATTTACATTAGAATAATATTTCACTGTTTTTACTGTAAACGTTAAAAAATCGTATTATTATAGTAATTAAATCCACCACACACAGTCAGCTCAAATAGGAAGGTTAAACTTCACAAACATAAATCCATAATAATATAAAAAAAACTTTTAAGGGCCATTAAACACATGGAGCGCTGCATGTGATCCCCGAAGACACGTGAGTGAAGTATTTGCCTATTTAACACACAACAAGATGTTTCTGTGTGAAAGCCTGAGAGAACCGACAAACTCTAAATCCTCACTGTCGGCGCTTCGTGATTAATCTGACAGTCATTTCAAACCGAGGTGTTGTTGTGAATATGAATCGAGTTGGCCGTGATCTTTGTGAGAACATTCAACAAAGACGAGCCGGAAACCCAGCCACAGAAACAGCAACACAACAAAGCCCCGAAACTGCCGAGAGAAAGAGAATATGCCTTTACACACAGTTCAAATGAGTCAAGGTAGAGCAGAAAGGACAGTGTACTTTCAGTCATGAGATCGAATTAACGCTAGATGTTTTGCTATAATTTACATCTAATGCTGGGTACACACCAAAAGATTTTTTACATCTTATAAGATTTTCAAAATGTGTTAGACCACAAACATGAGGACAAAAAAATCCTAGATTTAAGCGTTTTGCTCCTATAGTGTGTGGTGTGCCATGATGTGACAAAGACAGCACACCACACACGAACAGATTTTCAACCAGAGTCTCCACAGTGAACAAAGGAAATCTCACAAAATCTCGTGAGACTTCAGAATAAGCTTGGCGGACGATATGCAGGAAGAAATTGCGATGATAGTGTTTGGAATGATTTTCACAGAAAAACATTCGTGCTGTTGCCACAAATCAACAAGCTGATCCTCCATCTCTGCTGTCCACATCAATTTAACTTTGTGCAACGCCATGACTGCGTTTGTTATGCTTCCGTCTTCCATCATCTCGCTTTCTGATTGGATATTGTTTCGATTCACGTGATAATCTCCAGAGCGAGCGCGCGTTTGTCATCGGGGTTCCCCCCACACATCAGGATTTCTGATCGTAAATATTCAACATGTTGAATATTTACGATTCGCGATCGGGGCGCCTCCGACGTTCTTCCGAGCAGGTTCGGACACTCTCTTAACACACCTCACACCAAAGGAAAATCTGATAAGATAATCTGTAGAACCATCAAGATAACCGGGACATAGCTAGGATTGTCGGAAGGGGGAAAATCGGCCCAAAATCAGCCCGATTATCTTTTGGTGTGTACCCAGCATGAGGAATATTTCTCATGTTTCTCAGTTATTTTGCTTTATTTCCAGATTCACAAATAGACTCGTTCTCACACTAGAGCTCGTTCACACATGCGATCTCTTCAAAAACGGTGCTTTAAATCTCTTGACAAACTCAAAGATGTCAAACACATTATGTATTCTATATAAAAGACACAGGTTGCACTGAATGTCAGCTTGCTTATTTTGCCCAAGATACGGATTTATTAAGTCCACATGTCATGCAAACATGAAACTGCTTCTTTTCTAAATCTGTCGTTCCAACCATAGATCTCCATAATAAAGGCTAGATGTCTTACGGCGGAGTCTCTATCGTCATCACCGGCGGCCATCTTGTCACAGGCAAGGCTCTGTGGTGCCTGATGTAAGATGAGTGATCAGCACCAACACAAATACTCTCATCTCGCTGAAATCTTGACGGATTCACAAACGGTTTGGTTTCTTACAAACGTTATTAACGTGGCTATAATTCTGGATGATTATTTATTGATACACTTATTATTCATAAGTGTGCAGTGTCATAACTACATCTCTGACGTTTATAACGAACCAAACCGTTTGAAAATCGGTAGAAATTGAGCAAGTTATGGTTATTTAAAAAGTACATGCACCATTAACAC